TATGTCGGGTCTTGCGTAACCCAGGGAGCATCTGTATCAGACTGATGAGGCAACCTGTGATCAAGTGATGTCTCTTCCTCTTTGGGCCCACAGCGTGAAATCCTGATCTTATTGAAGTCAACAGCAAAACTCATACTAACTTTAATGGGGGTCCAGGATTCTACCCATAGAGCCTGGAGACCCGAAGGGGATTATGAGGCAAATCTTTAATTGGTAAAAATAGTCATAGCTTCATTGAAGTCAATTGAGTTATGACAGCTTATGTCAGCTGAGGATCTGCCTTTAAGTTCAGGGCCTGTTTATCTCACTTACATTAGTAAGTAAATCAGGAATAATTCCACTGAAATCAACGAATTACACAGCTGTGAAACCAGCTTTAAGTGAGATCAGACTCAGACTCATTGTCTAGGAGGATAATTGTGGCAGATGAGCCTTGATGGTAAAGTCATTAAAAGAGAATTTCAGTGGACTGAAATTTCTGTTAAGCAACCATTCATGATATTGAAAAACTCAGTTGCTTAACTCAGATAAGCTTTTAGTAAAAGTGAATTAGAATTGTATTCAATGGGCTTGGTTCTTCTTACTTACTTTGGGGTAAATCAGCAATAACATCATACATGTCAATTGAGTTACACTGGAGTCAAATTGCTGTGAAAGGAATGTTAGGCCCAATATGTTTGGGGATACGGTTGTTTGGTCTCTCTCAGACTCTCAAGGTAACAGTTGCCTAAAATGTGGTTTCTCACACAGGCTTCACTTGACTTCTCAAATCCATAATGCAAAATACCATATAATAATGCAATTGAAATTCTTAATTTGATGTTGAGTAACAGTAGCACTATGATATTGTTGAGTACATTGTCCACTGCCAACTTAAAAATTAATGTGTATCCCACTTTTTAATTCCTTTTGGTTGAAGGCAAGTAGAAGTGAACTAGAGGAAGCTTTGTAACTTACTATAAATGAACATGTATTCATAATTAACACAGCAGTATAGGACAAATCGATGTTTTATTGTGGTTTACTATGGTTTAGGTGGTGACTCATTCCTCTGGAGTCCTTGAGCTCCATATGAAGAAATGTGGCTTTAAAATGGAGCCTGGCCAGTATATATTTCTACAGTGCCCTTCTGTATCACAACTGGAGTGGCATCCTTTCACACTTACCTCAGCTCCTGAGGAGGAATTCTTCAGTGTGCACATAAGAGTAGTTGGGGATTGGACAGGAGCCCTGTTCAAGGCCTGTGGAGCAGAGGAAAAAGTCTTTAAGGAGCCCTGGAAGCTACCAAGGTTTAAATACTAATTTTTGTTTGTGTTGCCTTTTGTACAGTACTAGATGATAAACTTGGAACCATCTCAGTATGTTATTATGCTAAAGAACAATGGATATGGACATGAACTTAGAGCTCTTAGTTATCCAGAAGGTCTGTCACAAACCCCTGATTCAGAATCAGCTTATACATAAATATGGCCATTTAGCTGTACCTGTATATTTATGAATCAGATTAAAATGACAGTAGCCATTTATGTATGCTAGCTTCCTATCTATTAACTTATGTATTTAGGTTCTTATAATGGCAACTATCATCATAGTATCTTACCGCTTTCTTGCTCCCTAGCCCTGTGTTGCGCTTCCCTACAACTGTGGTTCTCAACACAGGGGACACAGAAGTCTTCTAGATATTTGCCTAGTTTTACAACAGGCTACATAAAAAGCACTAGTGAAGTCAGTACAAACTAAAATTTCATACAGACAATGACTTGTGTATACTGCTTTATACTCTGAAATGTAAGTACAATATTTATATTCCAATTGATTTCTTTTATAATTATATGGTAAAAATGAGAAAGTACGCAATTTCTTCAGTTATAGTGTGTTGTGACACTTTTGTATTTTATGTCTGATTTTGTAAGCCAGTAGTTTTTAAGTGAGGTGAAACTTGGGGTACACAAGACAAATCAGACTCCTGAAAGGGGAACAATCATCTGGAAAGGTTGAGAGCCACTGTCCTACAACTCTCTTCCAGTACCTGGATCCCTCTTTCTACCTCTGTTCCTTATCTCAGAGAGAATTCTACTTCTCCCAGCTGTCCTGATCCCACTTTCACTGGGTCTAGGGAACTATCTGCTGCCTGCAGCTTCTTCCCTCTATTGATCTGTGAATACCTACGTGCATCTTCCTCTTTCCCAGCATTCTCCCTCCATTCTGCCCCAGCTTCACAAATCCTTTTCAGTTACCTCCCTCCCCCTTAGATCTTTGTATAGAGTTAAGTAAGGCAAAGAGGTACTAAGGATTTTTAGAAGTGAGTGAGACTTATAAGTATGGTGCAGAATGTTTAGATTAATGGCAGCAGCTTGTGTGTCCCCTAATCATTTACTACTAGAAATGGTTCTGTGGCTTGCTAGGCATGGTATGCAACTTCTACGGGATCTGCAAAAAGTAATATGTTCAGAGAATTCGTGTTACTCCTAAGTAACCTTTGTTTAACTTCATTTTCAAAACAAAACTCGCCTGTTTCAAGTATTAATAGTAAAAGATGAATTTTCAAACAGTGCACAGAGATTTAGCAATTCAACATCTACTGATATTAATGAAATCATGATGCTAAATCATTATTTCACTATATAGAAAATTACTTCTAAATATTCCATAAATGCTATATGCAGAGAATGATACATCTTATATAATTGCAGTGTACCCACCACATGCTATCTAGACAGCTGATGACAAACCTCATCATGTATGTTTTTATGCCCTAAATTCCCACTGACTTCAGTGGGAGTTTTGAGTGTTCAAGAAATGCAGGATTGGGCACAACATGCACAAATCAAGACAGATGTAGAGAGAAAAATAGATGTTTATATAACCACATATTTAGGTTTGTGGCTAAATTATCAAAGATTGTCTTTTAGAACGTGTTTAGTTGCTATTTCACATGCAATTACCCACGCAAACCATTGGAAATACTTGAATAAAAGCAAACCAAATGACTAGTGTAATTGAAAATGGGAAATAGAGTAATTGAAAATGGGACATGTTTGCTTATGCAACAACACCCTTAAACAAGCCAGCAACATAACATTCAAAATAATAGATTTTCAAATAATTAATGTAAATGTATTTTGTGGACTGTTGCACAATGATTACCTCTTCCTTTCTTATTAGCATACTTAACTCTTCCTACAACATCTGCATGTTCATTTACACTATTAAACTTCCTTTTACTGTGATTCACACAATGACATCTGCAAGTAAACAGAAAATCTGGAACAAGGGAAACTTATGTTTCCTGAAAGTAAGATGTTAGATTGTGAAACAATCTTCCAGAGGAAGTGATGGAAGCACCATCACTTGGGTAATTTAAAACTAGGCTGGACAAAGCACTCAAAAATATACTGTAGGGTTACATCCCATGCTGCAAGAAGGATGGATTAGATGATTTAATAGTTCTTTTTCAGCTCTAATTTATATCATTCCTATCCAAATTGACTGATGCTCATTGAGAACTGTTGATTCTGGAGGAATTCAGACCTGAATGCATTTCTCTTAATTCTGATTCTAAGTAGTGTTTATAGTTTTATTAAGTATATTTTATTTCTGAAATACTTGTTCCTCTGAAAGAGTTCAGAAACTAATTCTTTGCTTACATATGATTTTTCTCTCTCTCTCTTTCATTACATAAATACATACTGAAAACTTTTCAAAAAGATTAATAAATCTGCTCCTCTGTCCTTTGATTTATACACTATGGGAAATAAAGCTCTAAAAACAGGATGCTTTGCAGTAAATCATAATTAAATACGCAAATATCTTGGCTAAATTTGGACATGTAATTATATGACTAATCACATTTCAGAAAGCCTGAAAATTGCAATTGCATGCTTAAATAGATGGCCAGGCTCCGAACTCACATGGATGCTCTTGTGCTCTCATTTCACACAAAATAGTTGCTTTGCTATGAAATGCCACCCACTGAAAATTAAATCCTTGTGTGATAGCAATTTGTGTGACAGTTTAGACGTTTTTATATATATGCAACAAAAGCACTATTTTGGAAAATGTAGCCCAGTATCTCTCAGATTTTGAGTCACATTGATATGTTGCTGACTTTTAAGAAATGATACTTTGTTACTCCAGACTGGCTGTGGATGGACCATTTGGAGCTGCAACTACAGATGTTTTTCACTATCGAGTCAGTGTATGCATTGCAGCAGGGATAGGAGTCACTCCGTTCGCCTCGATTCTAAAATCCATATGGTTTAAGTGCTGTAATCCTAATACAGAACTGACGTTGGAGAAGGTAAGGGGGAAATTTGTTTATAATTCCTTTAAAAAGGTAGTATTTTAATAAGCTAATACTTGTCAAAGTTAGATAACCAGCTCCTTCAAGTTGGGACTATCTCATTTGTCTGCTGTCCAGTGGACCCAATGAGTTTTCAGAACTTTCTGAGATAAAGTACTTTTTAGCTGCTAGCTCACTCTATTAAAGGCCTAATTGAACATTTTTATTACTTCTGCCCTCACCCACTATTAGAGTATGGCTTTGGAGGCTGATTGTCCAACGCAGAATTCGTATCGTCATTGTACTTTCTTTCATGATGTTTTTTTTAAAACCATACTGACAATGGGTTGGGATCTCAGCACTCAGATAAATATTTAGCCTTTCACCCATTATATTTAATAATAGAGGAATAAAAAAGATGGAAATATGTTTTTAAATTGTCCGCTTCCAACCCTAACATGCACTCTGTTTTCATAGTCAACTTTTAAAAATTCATAGAAGTTTGAGCTGCATGCAAAGGCAGTTAAACCTGTAACTCACTCTCCCTCCCCCAGCAACCCTTCCCTCTTAGCCTTTCCTCCTCCAGCTGTTTTTTCTCCTCTTCCCTCCTTCTATTCAGCTGCCTGAGGAACTGAAGTGCAATGATAATTCTCATAAATCACTGTAATTTTGGGGTAGGAGGAAATTAGGTTAATTAAAGTATTTTCAGTAAAACTAAGGCATTAGATAGTGCTTCACTTCCTGGTGACTAAACAGCAAGTGTCTCTCACACAAAAAAAGAGTTAAAACAACCTTTTGGTTTTGACAAAAATGGATTTCTTTCAAAAAGTAGCATTTTTCTACAAGAAAATCCCTTCTCAGTCAATCCTGTAGGGTTTTTGAGCTCCACTTCCACTTGCAGTTTTCATGAGGGCTCTTCCGTTGTGGTACTGTGATTCTGTAAGCTACATTCAGCAGCTATTGGCTACTTTCTCTCCTTGCAAAATCAAATAGATTTTAAGTAGAATAGAAGGAACACAACAGGGTCTTTAAACTCTCCAGTAGCTCCACTGGTTCCAAACATGAATTATTTCTAATAATGTAATTGATAAAAGTGTGCCTGAGGCTCCAGGTCCTGGACAGCACCAATGAAGTTAACATATTCTTAATTATCTGAACTAATTTTGTAATAATAATAATAAATAATATGGGAGTGCCTTGTGAGGATAGGGCAGGGGTCGGCAACGTTCGGCACGCGGCTCGCCAGGGTAAGCACCCTGGCGGGTCGGTCCAGTTTATTTACCTGCTGACGCGGCAGGTTCGGCCGATCGCGGCCCCCTCTCGCCGCGGTTCGCCGTCCCGGGCCAATGGGGGTGGCGGGAAGCGGCGCGGGTCGAGGGATGTGCTGGCCGCGGCTTCCCGCCGCCCCCATTGGCCCAGGACAGCAAGCCAGTGGGGGCCGCGATCGGCCGAACCTGCCACGTCAGCAGGTAAATAAACTGGTCCGGCCCGCCAGGGTGCCGAACGTTGCCGACCCCTGGGATAGGGTGAAGAAGAGACAGCTGGGGTGGAAATGGAAAGAGTGAGAGGGTGAAACACTAAAAAGAAAGTGGCAAGTAAAAACTGTCCCTTCCCCTTCCAGCCATTTTAACTCACTTTCTAATGTAAAAACTCAACTGGGAGCTGTTCAGTGTTTCAGATTTAGAGCCAGAGCCTGCAACTGTGTCTGTGGGCAGACCAGTGTAAGGATCCACCCACAGGGACCTGAATGCAGGTCCGAGGCCTTGATCTTTATAAAATAAAGGGAGTTAAAACTGGTGGTTTGATGACAAATTGCTGCTGAAAGAGCAGCCTGGTTTCTGGGAATGCAGGAGGTGATAAGGGGTCCAAATAGACTAGGGAAAGTGTGGGTGAGATAGAAAGAGAGAGAGAGAGAGAGAGAGAATTAACAATACCCCATACTTTAATAGCCGCAAGTCACTTTTCAGGGCATGCACTAGAAGACTTGGTTGCCTTCTGGGATGGATAAAGGCACAAGGCTGAATGTACTTAAGGTGTGCCCGAGTGACCCAATAATTTACACCCTGCCGTGGCTTTTTGCTATAATGCATTAAGTCTCACAGGACCTCTGTGAGAAACAGGAATATGATTATTTCTACTTTACATGTAACTTTTCTGTTTCACGGTTTCTTCATTAGTGTAATGGGAATAATGATACTTATTTCTCACAGGTGTTGTGAGGCTAAAATCATTAATTTTGGAAAGATATCTTGAGATTTCAATGGAAGGTGCTGTGGAAGTCCAAAGTAGTATTAGAATTTTTTTATAACTCATTTAAGTGAGATTGACTTAATCTCAGAGTAATTTTTTTTCCGTTGGCTAAAAGCTTCCACTTGTGGTATAATTACAAATAATTTAATCTGTCTCCAAGTATGTGGCACTCGTCTTCTATAGTGGTGAGTACCATAGAAATGTCAATTAAGGAAATAAATAAGAGGATTTTATTTTATTTTTTTTAAACAATTTCATCTTGATTTGAGTACAGCTATCATTACAGTTATTAAACTAATATTTCCTAGTGTTGCCCACATATAGTTGAGATATAAATACTAATAGCTTTGCTTAATATCAGCAGCTGTATAATTTAAAAAAACACAGCAAATCAGAAGCAGTACACATTTATCTAATTGATTTGTCACAATTAAATAGCCTTAGAGTGTAGTTTTCATATTGCTTTTTTGATGGTTAGGATGGGACATTCCAGAACTCATGACTGGAGTGTTACCATTCAGTTTAGTTATGCACAGGCTGGTTTCTTCCTCACACCAGCTAGCCTCAATTTTGCAGTTGGGAATTTATGAAACTGTATTGGTTAACCCAAATTCTAACACTGGCAAACAGCTGTATCCTCTTGTTCCCTATTTAAGATTCACCCCATCCCACAAACTTTCCAGCAAAATACAGTAATTTGGAAATACTAAAAGGCTGCAGAGTTCATGTTGTCAAATGTAACGTCATGTTAAAACTGCTTTGGGGAAACAGCCTTTATGCCTATATGGCTGAGTGCTAAATTCTTGATCGTCTTGTTAGTGCACCCATGCAGGACCCTCACCTTTGAGTGTGGAGGATAGAGATAACTACAGTGTGCCGGACTATGCCCTGTAACCCAAAAGGGGTGTGGTTACTCAGGTTGTGGGCCCTCCACAGCCACCCAGAAGCAGCTGTGGGGTAGCCCCCCCACACACTACCCATTTAAGAGCAGCAGTAAGAGCAGGTGATGAATATTTTTCCCTTGCTCCCCCATAGTCGTTCTTGCTATGTCTTCTGAGTACAAGCTGATTCTGTTGCTCCATTCCCTTCCCCAGTGCTCTCAGATGGGGGGAGGGGGAGTGAATGTTCATCAAGGAGTAGTTATTAATGATTTGCACTGTGCTGAAAGCAGCTTTATGAAGTATATGCATGCACCTTATGTGAGAGAGCAGAGTTCTCTGCTCTTGCTTACTTTACCAAGTGTACGGTGGAGAAAAATTAATGATAAATATGTGAGGATGAAGAGGGCGTGGAGTATAAGTGCATTATTTAAATAAGAGACTACTCAAAATCCTGCCTTACAGATCTGATTAATAGTAATACTGCATCTAACTCAATTTGCAGAAAGAGCACTTGGAAAATTTAAGGCAGTTTACTTGTGCAAGCCATCAAGATGATGAATATAATAGGTGGGGTGGGTGGGGATTAGTGAAACATAAATCTAATGATGGGTTGTTGTTTTTTTGAGGAGCCTAAATAATAGCACAGACAGTTAATACTGTGAGCTCTACAATAAAATACAGAATTCAGAATATTTGCTTACTTATAGAAATACACCATTCCTGGGTGGTTTTATTCTACAATGTTAATGAGGGTGAATTTTATTGCATTTTTATTGTATTTTAATCATATTTGTAATATGTTGTGGAGTGCCCAGAGCATCTCAGTGGAAAGAAAGGGAGGCTCTTTATAAATAATATTTACCATAATTACCTTTATTTTTCTAGGAGTCTGTGTGCCTCATAGTTTCATGTTTCCATAGGCCAACTTTCCTCACCAGCTTCTCTCTCCTTCCTTCTCGGGACTCTATTTGTGGCAAAAATATTCTTTGTGAGGAAAAATTCTATTAATTAATTAATTACAAATATTTCTCATTAATAACAAATGACAATTTTAAGAAATGCAATTGGCACAGATTTAGTGGGGATGAATTTGGCACAATATATTGGATTTGGTAAATTGTCCCCTCCCCTCCTTTCCCCACCCATCTGCACTTGCCATACATTTTTGTAAGATGAGTTGTTGAAAAGATGTGAGTAATTAGATGGTAAAATAGAGGTTGTGGGGACAGTTCCTCAGTAAAAGTCACCAATAGCCATGATAAAATTCATAGTGATGTTTTTCAGTGACCTGATTTTCAGAGGTATCAGGTGCTTTTAGCAACTGCTGACTTCAAAATTCCCAGACACAAACTTTGTAAAGGGCGACATAAGCCTGTAAATATTGTACATAGCAGTTAACTTAAAACAACACCGTTGTTAGTTACCAAAATGAAATGTTTTACTGCCAATGGGCCTGATTTTCCTCATATTTACACCAGGGTAAGTCAGTAGCAACTCCATGGAAAGCCATGGGATTATATTAATGTAAAAACAATGTAATAATTAAAAAAACAGGCCTCAGATATTTAGAGTTAAGGTTCTGCAAACAGCCCTAATCCAGACCCTATATAAAACTCATCCTTTACCTATTCAGCAGAAAGCTCACTATTTTCCACCACGAGAACTTGTCCACATTTCCAGTAGAGACCCTGAGCACTCACCTAGAGTACAGATCTAAGAAACCCCTCATATTAGCCCTAGACCTTCCTCTAATTCACCCAACTCTTCAGAGTGAAACACACAACATCTTGCCATGTAATCACTTATAATACAAAACATATTCCCTTTCCACCATCTACCATTTCACTAGAAGCTACACAACTCAGTCTATTTCATCTACCTTGCATATATGTGTACTCTATGTGCACTATGTGTATCTCATTTGTCCTCTATGTGAAGCTTCAAAACCTCATCCTCCATAAGCATGCCTCAAATAAAACTTTACCCCTATTCATTCTACACACATGGGCTGTAAATGCCAAATTATCACAATAACCAAAGCACAAATTTATTACATGTAGAATGTGATTTATTCAAGGATAGGAAAAGCTTAGTTAGTAGTAACACCTAAGAAGTAGTCCAGTTAAGTGAATAAAGTGTGGGGCTACAAGACTAGAATTAAGAGTTTGTTTCACTGAATTTGAAGGTGGATTAACCAGTTTTCAAAATGTGCTGTGTTTGAGACAAAAACACATTAGGCAGACCTGTCAGACTTCCTTTGATATTTAAAGGTCAAGGCACTGGGGCATGGTGAGGAGAAAGAGAGATGGTTTGGATTAAGAGGAGAAAGGATTTTTAAAAAGACCAAAACAGTATAAAAATCATGGACACAACAAAACAAGAGCCAAACATCACTTTTCTAACTTTATTTATAGCTTTGTATCCCTTCTAACATCCATTGTCCCCATTCTTTTCTTTGAGAGAGAGAGGAGGGGGGGGCTTCTTATGGGTTAGTAAAGTATCTAGTACACTTTGGGGGACTATACAAATAATTTCAATTAAAAAAATTAGTAAGGTTGCAAGGCGGCCAATCCCATCTCATCCAATCTCAGGTTCCCCCAACCCTCACTGGCTCTGAATCCCACTTCCTCTTAACTCCTCATCCAATTTCCCTATTCTCCCCACAGCCATCTGGTTTGCAATCTGCTCCCTCTCCCCCACCCAAACATTTCCCTCACTTGCTCCCAATCCAGCTTCTCCTCCAGCTCCCAGGCCCAGTCTCCCTTCCCTGCCTCCCAGTCTCACTCTCTTTGCCCAGCTAGTTCTAGTCTCACCAGACTTTTTGTCCCAATCAACTATTTTTCCTCCTACTGGTCTGGCTTTTGTTTCCTCTGCATTTGAATCAGACAGCTTCCTCTTCTATGCTGCCTAGGTGCTATCAAGAGGGTAAGTGAGAGCAGCCTGCTCTCAGCTCTAGTGCCTGACCTTAGCCCAGCTTAGAGCTGCTGGGAGCAGCAATTACAGGGAAAGTCCAGCTTCACCCCTGTAGCCCTTGGCTAGTGCATGCTCAGTTGCTCTGTGGGAACAGTGCGTGGAAAGTCCAGTCATGTGTAGAAGCTGTGAGAGGATGGAACATGCTAAGTTTCTCTGCGAGAATAGTGCACGTGCAGTCCTGTCACGCAGAAGAGCTGTGAGGGTCTGGAGCAGTGATGGACAACCTGTGGCCTGCGGGCTGCACGAGGCCCATCAGGATAATCCGCTGGCAGGCTGCAAGACAGTTTGTTTACATTGACCGTCCACAGGCACGGCCGCCCGCAGCTCCCAGTGACTGCAGTTCACCGTTTCCAGCCAATGGGAGCTGCGGGAAATGGTGCGGGCCACAGGGATGTGCTGGACGCTGCTTCCCGCAGCTCCCGTTGGCCGGGAACAGTGAACCACTGCCACTGGGAGCTGCAGGCTGCCGTGCCTGTGGACAGTCAATGTAAACAAACTGTCTTGCGGCCCGCCAGCAGATTACCCTGATGGGCCGCATGTGGCCTGCGGGCCGCAGGTTGCCCATCACTGCTCCAGAGTCTGGAGCATACTCAATTGCCTTGTGGGGGTGGCACATGCATAGCCTGGTCATGTATAGCTGCTGTAAGGGGCTGGAACATGCACAGTCACTCTGCAGGGATGATGCCTGTGCAGTCCGTTCAGCAGTAGGAGATGTCAGAGGCTTGAGCATGCACAGTGAGGAAGGAATCTTTACGGTTTTTAGCTGTTAAGTGATAGTAATGTTCTATTAAACATTTGCAAACTGTGATTTTTTTCAAAGGCTTATAACTTGGACAAATTTAGGTGGGTTGTCACAAGATGACAAAAGGCACCTCCCTGACACAAAGCCCGCCCCCACCAAATTTCTATTCTCTGCTCTATAACTTGAAGGCAGTAGAGCATTACAAAGAATAGATCTCAAGAATTTTTTAACATGGGCAAAACAACATCTTTTTCCCTTAGTCTCAGTTTTGGAAACAGCTGTATCATTCTGGGTGAAAACTGCCCCCCAAAAAATCATCCTGAGGCCAACACACAGCAATGAAAATTTCAGCCCAAATGGTTAAAGTTTGGCAATGTTATAAGCAACTGAAAACAAAATCTTATAACTGGAATGTCTGGCAACCTTAATAGTAGGTGGCACTACCAGCCTCATCTGTAATAAATGGAGAACCATAATGAATTTAATTAAGAGTTTTGTCTAGAAGCATAGATGTTTAATGCTGCACTCAATATGGTATTGGCAACCTTAAGACTAAAAGGACAGAGTGGGCTAGTTCACAGATTTTTCACCTTTGGAACCAGAGTTGAATACCACAGTGATGGGCATGGTATAAGAATCTCAACAAAATAGAATAACTTTCTTAGTGGATGAATGAAATTGAGTGTGGTGGTCTCATCTTACTCCCTGTTTGATCACATTTCAAAATCACTGCAGAGTTTCATAGGATATTCAGTCTCTATTCAAGAAAAATGCAGAGTTAGGTTTTGTAAGCCATGATGCATTGACAGAGTTAGATGGCTTGCATATTGCCTGTCTGCATTAATACTTTAATCACTAAATTCACTCACATTTTTTAAGAAGAAAAAGGTGTTTTAAAACATACAAAGAAACTCCACAATGTCAAAAGTAGATGGGATCATGTTTAAATTTCTACTGGAGTACAGTAGCATGCTATAAGATTAACCACTTATCTCAACATAAATAATTTAAGAGCTTTATAGAAAGCTTGTTGAAAGCTTGTGTCTTGTTGAATTTCCTTACTTTTACCTGACAGGTTTATTTCTATTGGACTTGCCGAGATGCATCTGCCTTTGAGTGGTTTGCTGATCTCCTGTTCTTGCTGGAAACACAAATGGCTGAGAAAGGGAAAACCCATTTTCTAAGTTATCATATATTTCTTACTGGCTGGGATGAAAATCAGGTATTAATTAAATAGGTTTGAGTTAATGTACCTTATTTTCCAGTATGGCAGCATATGAAACAGGAACAAGCAAATGGATGAATTAATGTAATTATATTAAATTCTTGAAGTATTTGATAAACAGGTTTTTTTCTCCTAAAATTTCCTTTTTAAATCTTTTGTGATATTTTTCCACACTTACACCGTTATAACGCCACTAACAGGCAGCAAGGAGACAAAGAACTGTAAATATAGAGCCCACTTCCAATTCAGCTTTAGGAAAATAGGAACATAAGAATTGCTGTATTGGATCGAACCTGTGGTCCATCTCGTCCAATATCCTATCTCTGGAAGTCACCAGTACTATCTGCTGTAGAATAAGGTGGAAGACAACTTGCCAGCACGGAAAATTTCTTCTGAACCCTAAATTGGATGTTGGCATGATAGTTTGTGGAAATCCTTTCACAATTATTGTTGTTTTTAATTCCTTACTATTATATGTTTAAAAATATATATTTTGTTATCCATTGTGATGGGCTATATAACCCCCCCACTGGAACTGAACAGGTTAAGGAGCAGCTCTGAGCCCAGGTGATTTCTCTCTATCCCTCCCTCCCCCCCCAACTGCAGAACCTGCTTCGGCTGGAGGAGGAGCTTTAAAGGGAGCCAGATGGCTAAAAAGGGGGTCAGTCAGGGTAGGAGGACAGATCTATCCTGAGAGCTCCTGAACAAGGGAACTACAAAAGCCTTTGCTGCCAGGAAGGGGATATCAGCTGGGCTGAAGGGTCAGATTTTTCTTTTTTGCTATCTTATATTGGACTTTGAGACTTTGGGGGGTGGCGAATAGTAGGAAGTGACCCAGGGAGACAGCCTCAAGGCACTTCAGTATGCTGATATTTTTGCCTCTAATAGGGCTCTTGGTTGCAGCCTGGTACAGTAAGAGGGCCTTGGCTCCCCTACCAACCACCCTTGTTGTGGAGAGTACAAAAACATCCCTTCCACATACCCCTCTCAGAAGTAAGGAGAGGGTAGAGATGTTGAAAGCCCCAAGGCGAAGCTGAGTCACCTAGAGGGCTCAGCAGGGGAACTTAAGGCCCTCCCTATTGTGAGGATGTGGGACTATATATATTTCTTTGGACTCTGTTACCTCAGAATGGGGCGAACTAAATTAGTGACGTGGCTGGAGGGTAGTGAGTTCTGCAGGTTAATTGTGTGTTGTGTGAAAATGTATTTCCTTTAATCAGTTTTAAATTTGCCAACTTTAAATTTCATTGATAGATCCCACTCTGAGATCTGGATACTACTTAGACTAAGGAAGCTCATTCAGCTTCTTCCCTCTTTATTTGGCCCCAAATGGGTCTTTCCTTTCTCTCTGCTTTATGAATTGGTCAGTCAAGTCACATTAGATGCAGGAAAGGAAAACCTCTCCTCCTGTTTCTTACTTTTTGTTCTTTCCATTTAATGAAAGGACTCTTACAGGATTAAAAAAGAGGAAATATACCACAAGTCATTCTTTTTCTTGTAGCCTTGCTCTTCTCCCATCTTAATTCCTTTCCACTTTCCCTCAGGGATTATTTAAAAGGTAATGACTTGAGGTGCTTTCAACATTATGGGATTGATTTTCAAAATGTATGTGTGCAGTTGTTCACACACACATAGTCCAAACAGCCTCTTACATCAGGACCCAAAACTGGGTTGCCAGAATGTTTCAAAGGGTCATGTGGTCCAGTCAGCGGGGTAGGGCCAAACCTGAGCAGCGCTGCAACCCCACAGGTTGCAATGCACAGAGTTGAAAGACAAGCCCAGCCAACCCCACACACAGGAGCTGTAGGAGCCACCACTCTGTGGTAACTGGCCAGCCTAACAGGTAAGCGGAGCCGGCAAGTACTTCTCGACTGGGGCACCTCCTCACCTCAGGGCCTCAGAGCTCGGCCAAGATGGTGACAGGACCAGGCCCCAGCTCCCCACCCTGGGGAGAGGGAAAGGCCCGCAGGGAGGCATTTACTGATGGGCTGGTGCTGAGTCCCAGGCCTGCACCAGCCACCCTACCACCATGACAGGGAGCCAGAGAGAGCAACACTTCCCCCCACCTTGTGTGTGAGACCATAGGTACTCCCTCCAGCACACCCTTCCCCCCCCAAATACAGCCTCCCACTTTGTTTGAAACGTTGTTTCAATAAATAGATTGGGCTACTTTGGGGCTAGTTTTTAAGTCACTTTGGGCTATTAATGCAGTAGAAATCTGGGAACTCTGAAACTCCCCCAGGGGGCAGGACCTGACCGAAACCACTCTAGGACCTCTATTCCCAGACTATTTACTGGGTTGTGACAGGCCACAAACATTTACAAATGGGTTGTGAGCCCAGAAAGGTTGAGAACCTCTGTCTTATACTAGTTATCTAAAAGAGACTGTGAAAACTTCTTTTGGAGAGAAAAATCTACTACCCATGCTGAAGCATGCAACAGTCTGACCAATATTAAACAATTTATTGCTCAATGTTAGCAAACTCACGGGCTATTATCTACCATCTATTTTCTAAACAAGCTAATAAAGAAGCTAACAAAACACATGGTCACCATCAAACGCCAGCTGCCAATATCCTGAATCTTCACGCCAGAACATGGTACAGAAACAAACAATTTTTGCTCTCGTGAGTGACCTCCAGCTCATAGACAGAGGTGGACATCTTGTTGGACCTTTGGACCTTTTTGTGGCATGTGATACCACTGAGCACCAACTACTGTTATCCCACCTCCAAAAGTTTGCAGGGGTGAAAAGAAGTACAGTGAAATGGCTTTCTTCTTCTCAGACCAAACACAGAGGGTTGTAATTGGTAACAGTTCCTCTACCTCCAGAGCTCTCACATGTGGAATCCCACAAGCCTTAAACCTCTCCCCATCTTACTTGATATCTTTAGGAAACCACTAGTGGAGACTGTGTGACAACTTTAGCTTAAATACCAGGAATACTCAGATGACACCAAGGTTTACATTTCCTTTACATAGAACAAAACCAGTATTCTCTCCAAGCTATCCCCCAGCATTTGGCCAAGAACAACATTTGGATGAAGAGCAGTTGACTGAACCTGAACCTAGACAAAATGAAGGTGATGATATTAGAAAGCAAGAATCACTCTGGAGAATTTACTTCTTTCCCCTCTGTTGAGGGCATATGCCGTCAGATTGTTAAATTTGTTCAGTCTTGACATCCTTATAGATTCTTCTGCCACTGGATGGCCAAATAGAGATATGGTGGCAAACAAGCCCTCTTCCATCTGTGGCTGGTGAGGAAACTGTGCCTCAAGATATCAAACCCAGTCTTGGCAATGCATTTGAGACATCTAGGCTTCATTACTGTAGTTCATTATGCTTAGGACTGAAGTCACAAATATTGACAAAGTTCCGTTTGGTACAGAATGCAGCCACCATCCACTGAGCAGCACAGCTGGCCATGAGCAAATCATCCAGTCCCTGCATTGGCTCTCCACTGAATAGACTCCAGTTCAAGTCCTCTGCCATGAGATTGGCCCAAGCTAGCAGGAAGACCGCATCTCCCTTTACCACCATGACCACCACCGTGACTGCTATGCCTCACCAGAACACTGAAGCTGTCAAGAAATAGGGGAAACTCATGAACACAAGAGAGGGAACTTTAAGGGATGGAGCCAAACTATGGAATCCACTCCTGCAAAAGATAATGACCACAGGTCGCATCAGATTCAGAACTAAATTCCAAACAAATTTCTTGACTTAGTTTTTCTTCAATAATTCTTCACAAGGATAATAATAATAATAGTCTATAATATAAACAAACACATTACTCCTAATTACAGAGGAAGGAAAATGGAGAGAGATTTTATGTTTGATTTTTAAATACCTATGCAGTGATGGGTGCAATATAAGAACCTATAGAGAGAGTAAATCTGCCTGCAAATTATGCACATAACTGCATTTCTGTGCATGTAACTTGACCAAAAAAAAGGCCTTATTTCTGTCTACATATTGGAATCCTGTATATTATTTAGGAGAAAAGGAACATAGGCATTGCTATGTTGGATCAAATAATAATAGGTATTAATTATAATTGTATTAATTATATTATAGTATATATCCCTCAGTAGGACATCATAGGAATTTTTTTCACCTTCACAACATACAAGATCTTTAAGCATAAAGAGGGGAAAGGTACCATCAAAAATTTATTCCCATGAGTCACCAATAAATCCTGACCACAAACTGACTCTGTAGGTTTGGGGAGTCAAAAGTTTTGTTAAACTGTCCACAGAACTTCTGCATTTTAGGGGCTCCAATGTACTGGTTCTCTTTTGACTTAATATTCTCACAAAGCCTACGAGCACTGGCTTCTGGAGATCACTAATCATGATGTTTTGCACACCTACTGTATTCCTGAGCTGCTCATTCATACTCTGAGGGACTGCTCCAAGTGCTCTTGTAATCATCTTTGTTCTGTTTTCCATCATCATTGCACTTGGTGGCAGAGTTCTTCATACTTTTCCATTTCTCTTCCTGTTTCTTTTTTGTTTCTTCTGCTGGTATGGCAATATCAATTAACATGATCTTGTTAATTGGTTTATTATTTATGTATTGGTTTGCTATAGTGCCTACAATGTGCTAAGTACTTTCCAAGCATACAAGAAGAGATGGTCCTTATCTTGGGGAGCTTAGTCTGTGTACATAGAGCATTGGACAGATGGGTTTTTATATATCAAGTTTAGAAAATACATCTATTTACTTGTTCTGGAAGTTTCTCAACTAAGGTTAAAATTGGTGTGGATAATCCTCAATATCAACTTTGGTTCTTTGCCTCCTTGCTTGCAGGTGGTGCAATAATGTTTTCTGAAAGGAGAATATTGGGGGAATAAGGGGAATGAAAATGGCAAGCAGAATTACTTTCAAGTAAATTTCCTTTATCAACTTAACAAAGGAAAGTTATTGCTGCTTGTCTGATATCATAAAGTATGCTATTGGTAAAGCATTGGCCACCGCGAATGATGATCCGTATATGCCATATGAAAGTATGAGGTGGAATATTGTTTAGAATATTTAAGCAGGTTCTTTTCTCGGCAAATACAAAAATAAAAGGGGTGGTAGACTGTTGTGCACCACTTGTGCATACCCTCTTTGACGCCTCCTCTGTGAGCAACTGAAAATTCAAAGTACACACATCCTGGATATACAGATTTCCTATATTGCATATAATTTTTAATATTTATTTAAAAATCACCATTACTTCACTACTTATGTTTTTCCTTTCCAAAATCATTTCTTTTCAACATTAAAATGGTTAGCACCCACTTAACTACCAGGAAATGTTTAAAAGCTGCTAAGAAACTTAGGAATCTAAGCCATGGTTGCAAAAGTGACCTGGGCCCAGATCCTCAAAGGCACCTAAATACCTTTCAGAATCAGGGCCTTAGGAACAAGTCGAATTGAAAGTCAATAGGACTTAGGTGCCCATGTACCTAAGTCACTTTTGAAAATGGAATTTAGGCTTCTAAGCCACTTAGGCACTTTTGAAAATATTGTTCTCCCCCCAGTCTGCCGTCTCTTTAGGGGCAGAGTGCTGCCCTCTGATGATAATTATAAGTCAACCTCCGCCCCCCCCCCCCGACGTAATATATATTTCCACCTTTTATTCAGAGACAGTATTATCGCTTTACTTTTTACTCTGCATATACGTTGTTGATTCTAAAACTATTGTCTTGCTGTACATTTTGCTTTAGGCTACTCATATAGCTCTACATGATGATGAAAAGATGGATGTAATTACTGGTCTGAGACAGAAGACCTTCTATGGAAGGCCGAACTGGGACACTGAGTTCAGGCAAATAGCAGAAAATCATCCTAGGTAAGGCAGGTTGGCTTCTAGCCTTATTATGTAACTCTTTCTCAACATAAACAGTGGGAGGGCAAATCTTTTAAAATGACCCTTTTAAAATAATTTAGTTTTTTGCTATGTGGAAAGAAGATTTATGTTTAATGAAGCTTTTAATGAAGAAATCTCAGAAAGAGAATGCCAATAAAATCTAATTTTTGGATAAGAAAATCTAATATTTATAAGTATTTCAATATCCTGGCCTTTGCCAGATATAATTGAAACACACAATCCAATTACTGTTCTGCACAAAGGACAAAGTAACATTAATTTCCCTTGAAGACGGTTATTAAAGAGATAAACTGTGATTTTTTTTTCTTATGATGTCAAGGATATGTTTGTTCTCCCAACATATTTGGCTACCGTTGTAAGACTGTGCTGTTCTGTCATTAGTTCATCTCTGCTGGCAAAGACAGTTCATTTGAACCTGGTGGATTTGCTAGTGGTCTGAGAAAAGCTTCTTTGTTCCTGGAAGCCTTTGAAGAAAGAATTTGAAATATTTTTCTGTTCATCACCAGAAAATTCTGGAATCTTTGTGATTCTTTTCCATTTCCAAATATTTACCTGTTAATGTAAGCTAAAGGCCTGCATTCAGGAGAAAGGGTTGAGAAAGGAAAAGGAAAAGCATTTTTTTATGAATGAAAAACTAAAATGCTGGAAGGGGAAGAGAGAAAAGAGTAAGCTTCAAGAATACCATAACATTGAAAAAATAACAGTAATAGAGAAATTGATAGAGGTAAAGATGAATACAAATCAGGAAATAAGAAGGAAGATTAAAAAATGGGCAAAGGGCTGACAATAGAAAATATAATTTTTTCCTTTTTATTATTTGTGAAATATTGCTACTACAAAATCATATTTTTAAAATTTAGGCTTGCAGTCAAATTTAACTTGCAGTCTAAACTTTATTATTTGACAATATCCAAAATATAGTTAATATCTTCAAGAAAGACTTTCTGTGCTGCTTTTCACGCACAGAGTAGAAGGTGATGGTGAGAAGTCCTGAATGTTATGATGCTTTCTTAAGAATCCAGCACTGAAGTTTTGGGAACGTGAATTTGGGTCGTAATGGGCCTGTCAGTCTGACATCGATCCAAGGCAAGATAATGGAGTGGCTGATACAGGACACAATTAATAAAGAATTAAAGGAGGGTAATATAATTAATGCCAGTTAACATGGATTTTTGGAAAACAGATCTGGTAAAACTAACCTGATATCTATTTTTATGAGATTACAAGTTTGGTTGACAAAGTTAATAGTGTTGATGTAACAGACTTCTATAAGGCATTTGACTTGCTATCACACAACATTCGGATTAAAAAACTAGAATGATATAAAATTAACATGGCACACATTAAGTGGATTGAAAGCTGGCTAACTGATAGGACTCAAAATGTAATTGTAAATGGGGAATCATCATCAAGCAGGTGTTTCTAGTAGGGTCTCGCAGGGATCATTTCTTGTCCCTGTGCTATTTAACATTTTTATCAATAATCTGGAAGAAAACATAAAATCATTCCTGATAAGTATGCAGACGATGAAAAAATTGGGGGAGTGGTAAATAATGATGAGGACAGGTCATGGATACAGAGCGATGTGGCTTGGTAAGCTGGGAACAAACAAATAATATGGCTAACTGTAAATAAATACAGGTAGGAAAAAAGAATGTAGACTACACTTACACGATGGGGGACTCTGTCCTGGGAAGTAGCAATTCTGAAAAAGATTTCGGGGTCGTGGTGGATGGTCAGCTGAACATGAGCTTCCATTGCGATGCTGTGGCCAAAAAGGCTAATGCGATCCCTGCATGCATAAAGAGAGGAATCTTGAATAGGAATAAAGAGGTTATTTTAACTTTGCATTTGGCCCTGGTATGACCACCGTTGGTATACTGTGTCCAGTTCTGGTGTCCACAATTCCAGAAGGATGTTGATAAATTGGAGAAGGTTCAGATAAAAGCCATGAAAATGATTAAAGGATTAGAAAACATGCATTATAGTGATAGATTCATAGAGCTCAATCTATTTAGCTTAACAAAGAGAAGGTTAAGGGGTGACTTGATCAGTCTGTAAGTATCTACAAGGGGAACAAATATTTGATAATGGACTGTTCAGTCTAGCAAAGTATAACATGATCCAGTAGCTGGAAGTTGGAGCTAGACAAATTCAGACTAGAAATAAGGTGTAAATTTTTAAAACTGAATGTAAATAACTATTGGAGCAATTTACCAAGGTGTCATAGTGGATTCTCCATCGCTGGCAATTTTAAAATCAAGGTTGGATCTCTTTGTAAAAGATATGTTGTAGTTCAAAAGGAATTATTGCGGGGAAATTCTATGGCTTGTGCTATACAGGAGATCAAATTAGATGATTACAATGGTCCCTATGAATCTATGAATTTGCTTGTGAGCCTCAGTTTATACATTTAAGGTCAAATGTGAACTCTTTAAAGGAATAAATGCATAAGAGAAACATTTTATTGGACCTGTATGGGGCAAAAACTGCACCTCCTCCATGCTCTCTGCATGTGCAGATGGTTCAGGATGCAGAGGAATTGGCATGGTTCTGCTGTGTGTGGGTAAAGGGGTAGCTAGATTTCATGAGGTAACCAGACTCAGGGCTGATTCTAGGGGCAGACAAACAGGGCCATTGCCCTGGGCACCAGCTTCCAGGGGACGCTGGACTGCTAGGCTCCCCCTCCCCAACTCATTGGCCAACTGTGTTTTAGGTTTTCTTTGCCTGACTGTTAGGGGAGGGTGGGTGCCAAAAATGTTTTCTGCCCTGGCCAGCAAAATGACTAGGGCTGTTCCTGACCAGGGTCTACATCCCTTTATACCACTGAGTCCAAGTCCACATGGGCTCCCTTCTGTGCAATGCACAGAGTCTCTTTGCAGATGGAGTAGGGATGGTGGTGTATCTACTACACCAGGGGTTCTCAAACTTCATTGCACCATGACCCCCTTCTGACAATAAAAATTACTGCATGACCCCAGGACGGGGGACCGAAGCCTTCGGCCCTGGGCCCCAGCAAGTCTAAGCCAGCCTTGGTGAATGGGATTGTGACCCACTTTGGGGTCCTGACCCACAGTTTGAGAACTGCTGTACTACACCATGAATCCACCATTCACACCTGCTACAGAGTACAGAGCTAGGACTGTCCAGCTAGAGACTGGGGCAGCAGCAGCCAATCAGATTCTTAGCCATTCCAAGATCTTATAGGTGCAATTATTCGTGCAAACATTTTGGAGCTCCAGTTTCCACTTAGGCATAGGTATGCTTTGGAAATTCAGTGGTGGGCACATGTTCTTGGTACAGTATTAACACTTCTGCAACACTGTTTTTGTGGTTAGAATTCACTTGAACCTCATTTGCACTTTCCTTTGAGAAAGCTTATTGGGAGCAAACATCAGTTGCACCTCATTGCTGCAGATTTAGCTTCCTGCTCTAATGGCACAAATTCTGAAAATTTACTCCAGTAGGTGCACAGCTAATGAGTGTGTACTTTATATGTTTAATGGATATGTGCAGTGTCTTTTTAAAAGCAAACCCTCAAACAATGATATATTCTATTGTGCAGAAAATAGCTATTTTTCTATTGTCTGTAACATCATGGCCTAGATATTTGCAAACTTGGGCATGCACTTATTCTTCTATGAGGACTACTTACATGTCAAGTTTCAAAATTCAGCCAATTTTAAATTATGTCTGTGGGCAAAAATGTGTATTTTTTTCATCTTCATAGAACTTAAAAATAACTGCAGGGATTTTGTGCATTTTTTTAAAATACCTCCACTTAGAGACAAAGAATGGAAAATTTCAGCCCATGGAGTAGGGCTTTTTTTTTTTGGAAAACTATGACAATGTGAAAACAGAAAATTATCATTAAAAACATTCTTTTGCAACCTCAGCCAGGACCGGCTCCAGGCACCAGCTTAACAAGCAGGTGCTTGGGGCGGCCAAGGGAGAGGGGCGGCACCTGTGGCAATTCGGGGGTGGCAGGTCCCTCACTCCCTCTGACCTGCCACTGAACTGCCGCCGCCAGTCGCGGCTTTTTTTTTTTTTGCTTGGAGCGGCAGAAATGCTGGAGCCGGCCTTGATCTCAGCTATAGCAATCCAGTTGAACACTGTAATAAAATGTAATAAACACTAAAGAAGAATTAAAAATAAAGATAGTTATAAAATAATACTTTGTGAAACGAACACAGGCAAAACTTTTAAAATGCATTTGTCAAAAGGCCATTTTAAAAGATTCAAACAAAACTGAGATGTGGTTTATTTGTTTTGTTCTGTTATCTTTTTGTTATTGCTGCAGCAACAGCATCGGTGTATTCTTCTGTGGACCCAAAGCTCTCTCCAAGATCCTTCAAAAGAGGTGCAACTTGTATTCATCAGCTGATCCTAGGGGTGTTCAATTTCACTATAACAAGGAAAGTTTCTAAACAGTATTTTTGAAATTTTATAATTGATATCATTGTACTGTATGCTTTTTCAATGAAATCAGTGGGAGTTAGGGGTCTAAATATAGTTGAGGATCTGGGCCCAAGTGTCTTTATAATTCAGGGTTTTTTTAAAAAATTAAAACTAAAAGCATGAAAACCCCACAGAATTTACATAAGTTAGTAGAAGATGCAGCTCTGCTCTATTTTAAAAAAACAACAGCAAAAATATATTAGATCTGTACTGAGGTGTAAAACACAGTTCATAAGGATCATATAATGCATTTACCCATCCATGCAATAAAACTGTGAAGCAGAAAACATCCCAAGTGTGTTAGCAGTTGAATAAGACAAATGACAATATTATATATGTACAAACACATGGAAAAATATTCACTAGAGAAGACAAAACTATATAGACAAATAAACACATAAGGATAAAAATTATATCCCAGAGGACTATAGGAATATTTTATAAATCTCCTGTTTGGGGATGGAGTTTGTATGAACTAAGCTGGGGCTACAAGATATAGTTGTATTATTATTGAGTTGAAGACGATGCATCTTTATTTGAAAATTGTGCAAGTTTTCTGAAATGTCTGTGAAATGATTAATGTGGTGCATATAGTGTAGCGGTAAAGTAAGTGGAGAATTAGCATCTCTGCCAGTTCACCTAGAGGCATTTATCTTTTTTTTTTCCCTCTGGTGCCAGTGATGAGCCTCAGGGTAAGCTGACACTTATTTTTTAACTATAAATTAAGCTTCTTTTTTGTGTGTTGAAAATCTTGAAGGGAATGAGGAATGTGTGTAAGCACCAATACCAGCTGCCATTGCATGAAAGAAAGAGGTGACAATCTCCTGTAGATTCTGAATGATTGTTTTAATGGGGCTGGATCTGAGGTAATAAGTACAAAGATATTGTGCTGCCAGAAAAACAGGATCTGTTCTCCCTTACCTCATGCAACAAGATGTAACATTTAGCTTCTGGCTCAACGTGGCATCTCTTCACTGCTTTGATTTATTCCCACTTTTGCAAATCACTGTGGTATGCTACAGGAGATGCATTTAGAGCCCTTGTTATAGTTCATTGAGTAGCATCTCTGTTATCACCACCAGAGGAGAATTTCACTTGTATCTGGGCTGAGTGACCTAGAATAAAAGAAAAACAATAATAATAATAATAAAAAGTGGAGAGGTTTGTTAGATTAGAATGAAACTGCATTTAGGTTGAATTAAAATCCCTTTATTATGAATATAATTTAAATCAAAATGGAAACTAGGAAGATTTGGCTTAGTGCCTTGTTTTGAGTAGCACTGAGCACACAGCAGCCATAATAATGTGAACGTATATGTAATTACTCTATTATTGTGTTTATGTATGAAAACATCTGCTGTCAGGGAAAATGAAACATGTCTTCATGGATTTGTCCATTCAGCTTCTTCAGTGGGAAGTGTTCACGACTGTGGAGAAAAATATTAGTAAATAAAATATAGTCAAAACAGCACAGCCCCTCATCTCATGCTGTACTAATGTTACAGTCAACCAACTAATCAGAGGCCCATACCTACAGATAACTTATTTGGACCTTACAATAAAATTAATGTTACCAACAGATTTATTGTAAGAATTTAAATTGTGCACTTGTATTCACCAACAAGTATAATTTAGAATATATGATTTTACATGCTCTGTGATTTTTCCCCCCAAAAATCCTCTGTGCAATGGAAACTGTGTAGTGAAAATTGCCCTGTTTTACACTAAAAGATGAAACAGGTTCTGCCAAATTTGCTGCATTCCATCATATTATATACACTGTATAATTATAAGGGATCCCCTCCATCTTTCATTCTGGTATGATAAAGTGCTGTATTTGGGCAAAACCAAATATTGTAAACTACAAAAAAGAATGGGACTTTCAAAAAGTTTAGATAGTCCAGATTAGCAGGAGAATTTATCGAAGCTTATCCAAAGAGAGCTGTCCTGGAAAGGGGATAGTTTTAAATGACTGTTACCTGACATTTGTGTTGCTATTCTCAACCGTGCATTGGAGTTTTGTTAGGGGAAATTACTTGAATCTGAATGTGAATATGAAAAACAAAGTGATGAGAAGAGAAGTGAAACCATAACTGCCAAAAGCAGTGTTGTAGGAGATAGACTCTAGCAGCTGCACTCTTGTGCATAGCAGATGTGTGCAGTCCACAGACTTTTATTTTCCCTTTGGAAGTATCTCACCCAGATACAGGCCATACACAAACTTGTTTTGCTTACGAGATCTGAAGAGGTTACAGCTTGTTGTCACAAAAAAGCAACAAGCCTAGAAAGCATAGCATTCTCAGACTGTCACCCATCCAAGTACTTATTAGATCCAAACCTGCTTTGTTTTGAAAATTAGATGAGTTTAGGCCCATTCAGGCAAATAGCAGTATCCAGCTGCTCTTCTGCCATTTGTAACTTATGGTGACCCTTATCATTTCTCTGCCCCAGAAATTCTGCAATTCTGAATCTTCAAAGTAAAAACGGGGGGTTGAGCAATGTTCTCATGGGTAAGGCTTTGTCCACATTAGGGAAAACAGTGTTTTCGAAATACGTGAACTAACTTGTTAGTTAACTTACGTTAAAACTCTAATAGAGGCAGGAAATTTGTATCTTAACATGAGTTAACTGGTAAGAACCAACCAGGGCTGTCTTTTGACACAAGTTAAAATGCAAATTGCCTTGTCCGTGCTATGGTTTTAATACATGATGACTAACACAGGTTAGTTGACATGTTTTGAAAATGCAATTGTTTTCCTAGTGAAGGCAAGCTCTTTAAAAGGTTTATAAATATGCTATCTGATACTGTTGGGGGGTGCTGATTGGGTGTATCGGAATGACAGCGCTGCCCAGTAATGATGCTCTGGGATATAAAGCCCAACAGTGGGGATTCCAGGGGCCACTTTGCCTAGTGGCAATATCACAGAGTCAGTATCACCCAGTGGCAAGAGTCCAAGAGGCTGCTTTGCTTAACGGCAATATCACCCAGTGGCAAGAGTGGTGAGGGTAGAGGAACCCAGGCCCACACTATTCCACCAGGTTCCGACCCAGGGCCCTTCAAAACCAGATGCCCTGACACAGGGTTCAGGTCCAAATATCCCCAAGCACGTTCCCTGGGTCGCTTCCTACCCTCATCCCAGTCCCTCCAGAGTTAGACATGGGTTCCTTCTGCTCTGTCTCCAACAGTTCCTCCACTGGTAACAGCAAGTCATCTCCTTTGGTTCCTGTAATCAACTGACTTCCTGCAGCTCAGGTAGGCCCCAGGGGCTTGGAGTCCCAGCAACTTCCTGGCAGGAGGCTTTTGCACACAACCACTCTCCTCCTCAGTCAGCCCCAGACTGGGCTGAGCTGCTCCCTTTTGAATGCTCCTTCCACTGGGACCAGGTCCAACAAGGGCAAGGATGCGTGACTAAAAACAGAGCATGCTAAAAATAGAGTGTAGCCCTGACAGCATGAGCGGTGGGAGAGGCCAGCCACCATGAGTATGTGCCTAGCATCTCACACGGGTGCATATTGTGCCGGTTAGCCTATCTTGCTGCTCACACAACTGCAGCTATACTCTTACTTTTTTAGCTCGATCAGAGCTAACACAGGTATCTCTCCCCAGGCTGGAACATACACCTCTAGCTCAAAGTTTAGACATATCCTTATAGTCATAGGGGGGTGCTGTAGAGACAGGGCTCAAGGTTGGGATCTGAACTCTGATCCAAATTATACTTTTATTGTATCACTGGACCATCACTAGTCCTTCGTGACTGCTTATCTAGAATGTTATTCTTTAATATTAAAGGCCAAAATCTGAAAACTTGGATACCTAAAGTTACATAGCTAGGACCATATTTAGATACTTTAAGTGATCTGATTTTCAGAGGTGGTTGAGTACCTTCAACTTAGACACCTAAGTTGGCCTAAAACCTTTGTAGAGTGCGGCACAGAAAAGAATCAAGGAAATACAACTTCCAGTACTGTCGTCACATAAATAAACATATTTTAGCTATCATTGGTGTATGTAGATGGCAGTTACAACACATGCAAAAAGCCATTTAGTTTTTGAAATGAATATCGAATATCTGTTCACAAATAATATTTATTCTTACTAAAAAAAACTTTTTACAAATTCTGGCTTTGTTGACAAGTCAAATACGAGTTTAATGGTCTCATACTAGTTCCTTTTTTGAGCATCTCACAAAACCACCAGGTGAGTTGAAGCAGATTTGGCATGAACATGTGTAAGGAGTAGCACAAAACCCCTGCCTGCACTGTATCTGACTGAAGCCAATGCCCATTAGCATGAGCACAATACTCACTCATGCATCTTAAAAAACTGATTAAGATAAAAAAAGAGAAACCTCAAATTAAAAAGGCCATTGATACCTGATCAGTCCTGCAACATGGAACATTCATTAATTATACATTACTATAAGACTATGTTACATTTATGTAAAAATGTCTACATTGAACAACCACCATTGCACATTAATTTTAATAAACTAGACGTGCAATTTTCTGAGTTCACGTAGCGGTGAAGAATTCAGAAGGCAATGTAGAATGCATACAAAAGCACTGCTAGCCATTTAAGATCCTTTTTTTAAGATTTCTTACTCAGCAGAGACGAGGATAATAGTTAAGATGCACAGTTTGACAACTCTGAACGTAATATCAAAGGATGGAACAAACAAGAATATATGCTGTGATATTATTGGTCAACACATGGAGTCTTTTGAATATAAACTATGTGCAAAATAACTAGATCTGGCTGGATTGGCCTTTGAAAGTTTAGACAATCCAGTATGCCATTTCTTCTAAAGGACTGTACTATTACTATTTTTTATAGTAGGTATGATAATAATTACAAAAGATGGCATATCCATGGTATGGCTGGTGGAGTGTAATCACATAAAAATAGGGCGTCTATATATATTACCGTAAATACATTATAATAGTATAACACATTCTATTTATGAATAACTTTTCATGCAAGGAACCCAAACCAGTTTACGAACAAATGGTCTAATTCTGAGAGGTGCTGAGCTAATGGAACATACAGGAAGTCCAAAGAAACTGAAGGTGCTCCGCATTATACAGGATCAGTGCATAAGAACTTAGTCAATTAAATTAATTGGAGTTTTGTCCAAGTGAGGACAGTAAAATTTGGTACCGTTAATCAACATCAGCACAAATGATATTTTACAAAGATCAAACACTAAACTTTTTTAAAAAGAGAAAAATTGAATTTAGTTCAAATGACTGAAATGGTCAGATTTGTCTATAATGAATATCTTAGTGCTTTGCTACATGCCGGTTGTCTTATTGCTATACATACACGTAACCATTAATAATGCAGCACACAAGCAGTGAGATAGTTTCTTTGGGGAAGGACACAAATACATATAGAATTCAAAGTTACTGCTCTAGGCCCCGATACAGCAAAGCACTTAAGCATCTGAATAGTCCCCTTGACTTCAATGTCAGTATGCCCTCTTGACTCCAATGGGACTAGTCACATGCTTAAAGTTAAGCATATGCCTAAGTGCTATGCTAGATCACCGCCCTAAGTAGCTCACAGAAAGTAATGCACAAACAAGAGGCACTTTTGCTGTGGTCAGAATAGGAAACTGGGAGTTAGGATTCCTGGGTAAATCAGAGCAACGTTTTTCAGATAAAACTTTTTTGGGGGGTGAAAAATGCAAGTTCAGTGACATTGAAATATTTCATAAATGTACATAGATTTTGCCAAATTGTTTCTATTAGAAAACAAAACAAAATCAGAAAAAAGTTGAAATGCTTAATTTTGACATTTTTGAAATGAAACGTTTTGCCCTTGTGGTTTGAAATGATGTTACATTTCAAACCTTCCTTTAATTTTATTTCAAAACAATTTTTAAAAAATGATCAAAATTGAAACAAAACATTTCTATTTAGGCAAAACAAATCATTTTGCTTGACCCAAAATGATTATTTTTGCTTTTCTAAATTGCCAAAAAAAAAAAAAATCCATCATTGGCTCAGCTCTACTTCTGGGTTCTATTTCTGACTCTGCTCTCCAGAGGTGTAAGGGTAGGCCTATGACTCTCCTCCCCTGCCTGAACACCTTGGCAGAGTCAGCCTGAATCTGCCCCTTAAACATCTCACCAATTTTAGCCATTTTTGGAAACTATATTACCATTAACCTAATCTATTCTTAGCCCAACGGCTAAGATGTTTTTAATGGCAAATATTTTGGATTCCTAATAAACAGGTATACGTATATGACAAAATGCCTCCGTGCCAAGTAGATGCTGTAACATACAATAGATTTCTTCAGTAAAGTAACTGAGAGAAATACACAGAACTTTTAATGACATCAAACAAGCTCTATTTAATAGTTAAAAATGGGCTGAATTCTAAGTGAGATTATGAGTTAAAATAAGATATATAGAGAGACAAATAGATTTAGAATATTACAAAGTGGATTAAAAATGAACAACCAAGACGGGGAGAGAAAGAAACAGGGCTCTAAAAAAAGTCTTTAATAAGCAATATTATCCAAACACCTGAGCATGGATTTTTGTCCTGGCACTCTTTACCCTAATGAGAGAACAGGAACAAGACTTGGCGCCAGCTCCTACTTCCAGCAAAGGGCATAGTAAAACATTCAGTGGCTTAAATGGTAGCAGGATCAGACCCTGTGCTTCAGAGCACAGCACTGTCAGGATTGCTGAGGTTTAATTTTTATGTGTGGTATATCAGAGAGTTTTCAACAGGATGAAAGACTCTTTTTAAATATTTCATGTAGAGACTATACAATGGCAAAGAATATAGTTAAGTAAATAAATAATGTTCTGCTTCAGTTTCCTGGGATGCACTTATCCCCTTTATGACTCTTGATACTT